TCGAGGGCGATTAAATGAAGGACAATGAGTTTTCCCGAAATGGTTTTGGATTCAAGAGGATTCATACAGGATGTTTCGATGTATGGAATTTTTCACAGTATATTGCAATTTTCGGCAAGTTTGAGATCGCTCCGTTTGGCAGGGATTTTTATTATGTTTCTTTGAGGGCGATAAGATGAAACATGATGAGTTTTCTCGAAATGCTTCTCAATTCTGGAAGATCCATGCAGGAAGTTGTGATACATGGAATTTTTCACAATATTTTGCATTCTGATGTTCAACCAACTAAACTCAACTTCAACAGAACTTAGCTTATCCTGCTCAACGCTATCACTATACAATGTGTTTTCAAACATACCAGGTATCATCGAACAATCATGGTTTCCAAATTTCCAGAGGTATGAGATTCGAATTTGGCAGGGGTGTAGAATTCGAGAATTGGTCAATTTTTCAAAATTTCATACTCTCCCATCACTTCCCGGTTTGACCAGAAACGACCCCATCTTTCAATTTTAAAATGGGACATCCTGTATTTCATTCCATCATAACGAATTCAACAATACTGGGTTTGAGAGAGTTATTTCGAACGATTACGAAGATATTCTCGTTCGAAATTTCCATATGCTCAATAAGACGTGTGACAGAGAAAATGTAAGCAATATTATGTTGTCTTCAAACTCCAATGACAAGTCTCGCACGATGTGGTAGTTATTATCATTATTATCAACCAGTATGAAATCATCACCAAAAGTTTTGGGCCACTGGAACGACAACTTCCCTAACACAATGAATGTCTTATTGATACCGAAGAGTATTCATACTCTCTCTCAAAATATCCAACGTGGGGCAACGATTCATCATGATACCACCCCATGTCAATTTTTTATACTCATCATTTTTCCATTATAAATATTGTGCTAATAATTATTATTAACGGCATTTTTTTCGTAATATTTCAATTTATTTCTACATCCCCTATTTTCGAAAATGTACAACACATTGTGTAGTAATGACGTTGAAGATATGCCAATGAAAAATTCTGTTGAAGTTGAGTTTATGGTGGTTGAACATATCAGAATGCAATCTGTTGTGAAAAATTCCAGACATTCAAAGATCCTGTATGAATCCTCTTGAATTGAAAACCATTTCGAGAAAACTCATCGTTCGTCATTTTATCGCCCTCAATAAAACATAAAAAAAATTCCCGGTGAAACGGGGTGATTCCAAACTTTTCGAAAATTATCACATTTTCAGATATCACCCAGTAGGTCTTCATGTCGGAAAGGTGGAATAACGAAAAATACTGACGTTGTACCCAATGGAATGAGCTATCAGAATCTTGAAAGGAAATGAAAATTGGTTGATCCACTCCAAAGTTATGACGGTTCGAAAATGATAGAAGTTTTTGCTTGTCTCACTTCAAATGTGGAGCAGTTTATATACGAGGGGATAAAAAACTTCAAATAAAAAAGTTGTAAGGTTTCATCGGTTCAATATTTTGGCAACCCTTGAAGGAACATACGCGAATTACAAAATAGTGAGAAAATAGACAGAATCAGTTTCTTCAAATGAAACACCATGAATATTTCCATTGTGACATATGTTTCCCTTCTGTTCACAAATATAGATAGTTGGTTAATATTTCCTCAAGCCATTTTTCACTTATTTAGCATTGATTCAAAGTTGCCAATGCAATTTATATGATGGCTCTGGACCTTATAAAAATGCCAGGGAAAAAAGGAATTTTCAGACATTTCTGTCATTTATTTATTGAGAATTTGTTATTCCGTATGAAAAAAATACGAGATTGTGAGATTATATTATGAAAATATTGCAAATATTCCGGTGGTGCAGCAATCATTCAGTCGAAAACGGCTCAAGGGATCATAAGCAAATTATACAAATTTGTGAACAGAAGAAAAAGATCTTCCACAGCAGTTGGGGATTCACAGGATGTTCCATTAAAAAAACTGACGTCGACTCGTTTTTCCTATTTTGCGATTCGCATTTGTTCAATAAACGAATGCCAGAAGATAGTACAGATAAAACCCTAAAACTTCCATATATAAATATGTTCAAAATGAAACAGCCTGTATTAAATTTCGATAATTAAGTGTCAGCGGTTTCGAAAGAATTGGGGAAAACCCATATTAAGGGTATGTATCGATGTTGAGAATCGCGATTTGCGATTTTCTTGAACTAATCTTATTGATATGGACTGAGGGTATACCCTTTTCACTCAAAACCTTCTGGTATCAAATTTTCATGTCAGAATATAGAAAAAATACTCTCAGCTTCTTCAGTATTATTGCAAGCTTCATGTTGAAAATGTGAATATTGAGCTCGAATTACGATTCAGCATTATATACGTAATGTCCCAAAATTGCTGGGACACAAACCTACCTCGTGTAATACAAGTCAGAATGAGCTAATAAAACTCAACCTATTTATATGATAAAATGTATCGTTTGTTCTTGAAACGAGTTCGGAGTTCACATTAAAAAAAGCACATTTTTGTTAACTGTTCAAAAATCAGAGGATCACCCTTCTTTCGGTAATCAAATGAACCCAAAAAAAATTGTAGAAAGGTTGAAACCACCCTCACCACCTGACATTTTTTTCAGAACATTCTATTACCACCCCTTAGGTGGTAATACGGTTCTCAGATTCTCAGAGCGGGATGACTTATTATTTTTTTTCATTTTGTCATCCTTATGAAAATTTCGTAGTCCGCATAGTTCCAGACGAAAAAATATTTTCTTAAATATTGCTAACAGATATTCCTAGTAGACGTTCAATACTTATAATTATAATGAAGAGGTTTTTTTAATGAATGTTCAATATGATGTCCACAATCATCAATACAAATGTCAATTCGTTCGTTTCTACTGCCAAATAATTTCGTTATAACAATTTTATACAACTTTCAGCAGGAAAATGTGTTATCATCATTCAATAAAACATTTTTCTTCTTTGGAACTATGGGGAATACGGAATTTTCACAAAAGTAACAAAATGGGAAGAAAATAATGAGTTATCTCGCTCAAAAAATTCGAGAACCCTATTACCTCTCCTATAATGATTTTCTGGAAACATGTGAGGAAGTCAGGGTGGTTTAAACCCTTCGGAAGTCTCTTCCAAGTTTCTTCGGTAAATTTCATCCAATTTGTTCCGCTAATTTCTGAACAGCGCACGAAAAATATGTTTCTTCATGTAAGCTTTGAACTCGTCTCACGGGACAAAAGGTAAAATTTTTACATAAAAAAGTTGGGTCCAATCAACTTATTTTGAACGTGGTATGTCTGTATCTCAGCAATTTTGGGATACCCTGTATATGCGTTTTACTAAATTCCATGATGTTCAATGAGGCCTAGCTCCCTTTAAAATCACACCAAAGTTCAGGAAACACTCGATATAGGTGCTTGCAAATAATTTTTGGATTCGAATGTGGATTTTTGTAATGAAATTCCATCAGCTCATCGCGTTGAAAGAAAACGTATGACCTTCAAATATTATGTGAAACCAAAGATCATGTGTTCATCCGACACCTGCACCTCTATGATCGCATCTATAGTAATTCCTTGATATTCACTAATACTATTAATCACAAAAACAATGACATCATCTTCATCATTGTTGGTTTCCTCTGCTACACGTGATTAGACTGAAGCAACTATTTTCAAGCCTATTTACAGCCCAACAGAATAATTTAAAATGTCACTATACCCATATTTCTTCCGCTGGAATATTATCAAATTGTTGTTTGATATAAATGAATGATTTTATTACTATTCTCTTATATGGGTTCATTAATTTTTTTCAATCGTTGGATTTCTCTTTATAGTTTCGAATTTATTGTCATCATTAAATGATCCATTTCACTTGAATAAATTATGACTGAGTTTTTTCACCACCAATTCTTGGAACGAAAGTTTCGAATTTTGAGGTAGACAACATCATTCTTAGCCGTTTAAAAATCACACCTGATGTCTGCTTCTTTTTTCATTGAAGATGCTACATTGTTTTACAACTAACCGAATCAATGTTGAATCAAAATTAAAAGAATGGCCCTGACACTTGGAATCTGTCAAAAAATTCGATACACTGCGATGAATTTTTGAGTATTTTTTCTGTGACGGGAAAAAAGTTTGGCATTTCATCTCTGTTGGCAGGTTATAAAATGTCACTTTTCATGAATTACTTTTTTCCCGTGGGCAAAAAGTGAGTACTTTTTTCCCGGATATATATCACATATATATACACTGTTGATGGCTTTTGTTGTGCTATAGTTCCGAAAAATGAGTCAATAATACCGTCTCCGAGAAAGAACTGCAAGTCCTTATCTTCGATTCGACTTCGCGGTTACGTATATAACTAAACAACCACTAAATTCGCAATTTTTTGAAATCAAATCACAGAATGAGACTGACAGAAGTGACATCAAATATTTGATTACTTCAAAAGAATGATAAAGATGCCTATAGAACGCAGGTGTCCCTACTGTTAAAAACGTAAAATTTCACGTCGATAATTTTCACATTTCAAAATAATGTAACATTTCCTCAATATTGATTCGTCCTTTCTTCTGTCACAGAAAAAAATAGTGTATTATACACGGGAAAAATATTAGATTTTAGCTCACGGTTTTTTGTCTCCCTCCGCTACGCGTCGGGAGACAACACAACCTGGAGCTAAAATCTACAACTTTTTTCCCTTGTATAATAAATAACTATTTCTAAGCATTTTTATTTTTACCACGCATTTATTGGCTTGGTATGCATGTTTGTATGAAACGCAAATTAAAAGTACAATTCCTGAAATTTCAAGAGATTTGGTTCGATAGATACTTACAAACGAGGATTGAAGGATTATTCAATAAAAACTTAGATTATATGTATGATTTTTTCATGTATTCATGTATTCTTTAATCAGACTGTTTATATTTTTTCATGTTAATCTGAGTTTATTTTCAATGGAAAACTTCTAATTGGAACACTTACCTTTCCATTGATAACAGCCTGAACTGTGAGAACCTTTGCACTGCGATGATATTCCAGAACTTCTCCTGGAAGCCAATGGCCGACCCCTGGATCAAACCATATCAGATCTCCAGTATTCCAATCCATTTTATGGCTTCGCTTATCTTACCACATTGTCAGTCTGAAACAAAAATTGAAAAAATCAGGCAAACTAAATGGAATGAAACTCTCTTCGCCCATCCACAGTATACAGAGTGTCCGTTTTTCGAGCTCCACCATGGAGATTTCAGTTATTATAAGAGATACGAGGTCGGTTAAATTAGGGCAAAGTTGCGAATTCTCATGCTGAACATTCATCGGCAAAAAAATTTGAAATGTCATTTTTACTATTTGGATGGCATAATTCCAAAAAATAGCTTTGAAAAAACTTTCGAAATAAGTATAACGGACAGAGAGGCATGGACGGAAGGACCTCCTATCAATGCAGACATTGCTGTCTATACGGACGGCTCCAAAACTGAGGAAGGATCAGGAGCTGGTAGTTATGGGGCCAAGCCAAAGACAAGAATCTCACTGAGCTTAGGTAAATACGCGACGGTGTTTCAGACAAAAGTTATTGCAATACATTATTGCGTGAAAGAATAGTAAGTCATTAGTTTAAAGGCAAAACCATTGCAATCTATTCAGAATCTATTAACCGTGTGGTGGTCGGATTAGAATAACCCCACGGTAAGTCCTGCCTGTCGTAGAAGGCGACTAAAAGGACGCCAATAGGTGGAAGATGGTTAACGCCATCGCCCGGTGCGATACCACCACATCAACCATAGGCACTGTGAAATGGGTATACTTACCCGTGTTTCAGTAGCTGGTTGATGTTCCGGCCAACCCAACCCAACCCAATTTCCTTTTCCTTCCACGCCAACTTCCCTTCTTTATACAGAATACGCGATGATGAGTTCTCCTCAAGTAAAATTATCCGGAAGTAAAATACCTCTCCATTCGGATTTCCGGGCGAGAGGTGCTAGAGGGGGTTCACCATCGGCTCAAAAAGTCCTCAAGATAGACCTATGCAACATCCGAGGTCTAAGTAAGAACATCAACGATGTCCATCGACACCTTCAAATTGAAAAGCCAGACATATTGGCTCTTACTGAGACACAGGTCAATTCATCCACCAATACGACCTATCTGCTCTGTCCTGGGTACGAACTCCACACACGTTTCAGATTCAAGGGAGGTCTCTGCCTCTACTCTAAAACGAATCTCTCATGTCAACGAGAAAAAACTTTGGAACCAAATAAGTTTGATGTCATGTGGTTCAAACTCGATAGCCAGAAACAGACCAAATACCTTTGTTGTCTCTACTTATCACCAAATGATCCATCCTATGAAGAGCTCTTCGAATTCTTGTCTCTGAAGCTTGACCAAATTCAACAGAACCATCCAGCAGCAGAAATCATCATCATGGGCGATTTCAATGTACACAACACTGCTTGGCTCGTACACTCTAACAGAACGGATGAAGCTGGGCGACAAGCCGAAGCTTTCGCCATCACTCACGGCTTAGAGCAGCTTATCAAAGAACCCACACGAATTCCCGATGCCAATAACCATTCAGCTAACATACTTGACTTATTCCTTACTAATAATTCAGCACCCTACACCATAGATGTACGAGCTCCACTTGGCAATTCTGACCACACACTCATCTCCACAACCTGCCCATTTTTCATTCCATCAACTGCTCCGGCACCCCCACGTCTTATATGGCATTACAATTCAGCAGATTGGGACGGTCTCCGCATGTTTTTCTCCGAGTTTCCTTGGCATAGAGTATGCTTCGACTCTGAGGACCCTTCACAGTGTGCTGCGGAAATATCCGAGATCATCATGCTCGGAATGGACACATACATACCTCATTTTTCGAAAAGATCATCACCTTCGAAACCCTGGTTCAACAAAAACTGTTCTAGAACTGTTGCCTTGAAACAAACAGCCTACCATCGCTGGCGCAAAAACCCTAACCTCGCGACTAGAGCAGAATACGTTGATGCCAGGAATAACTGCAGCCAAACAATAGATGCTTCGAGAGAAACATACAATGCCAAGATAAGATCGAAACTCATAGATTGCCCCAATGGCTCTCGTTCGTTTTGGTCCCTTGCTAAAGCGGTCGGAAGAAATTTCACTAATAGTTCATTTCCACCACTGTCCAAATCCGACAGTACATTAGCAACAACATCGCAGGAGAAAGCGAATATTTTTGCAAAGATGTTCGCAGCAAACTCTACTTTAGATTCTCAAGGAAAACTGCCGCCAGACATTCCACCCGTCGAGAGTCGAATGCCCGAAATCGTCTTCCGTCAACGCACTATCAGACGAATTTTGCTTGGTCTCAAAACGAATAAGGCTAACGGTCCTGATGGAATTCCACCCATTATCCTCAAAAAATGTGCACCAGAATTAACACCGATTCTCTGCAAGTTGTTTACCATCTCGTACAGGTCGGGTATTTTTCCATCATGCTGGAAGACAGCTAGAGTCCAACCAATCCCCAAAAAAGGGAACAAGAGCCTGCCCAACAACTACAGGCCCATTGCCCTGTTATCAGTAATCTCCAAAGTGATGGAGAAAGCCATCAATATTGAGCTTATCAAATATCTGGAGAGCTCAGGAATCATCAATGATAGACAATACGGCTTTCGCCACCGAAGATCTACTGGAGATCTACTTGCCTACGTCACCCATTTATGGCAATCTTCAATAGAAAAACACGGGGAATCTCTAGCTGTCGCGTTGGACATATCGAAGGCATTCGATCGTGTTTGGCACGAAGGACTCCTCCACAAACTACCATCATACGGCTTACCACCTCAGCTATGCCATCTCTTATCGAGTTTTCTTTCAGGCAGATCGCTTCACGTGGTGGTGGACGGTGTATCGTCTGATACCATTGGCATCAATTCCGGCGTTCCACAAGGATCAATTTTGGCACCAACATTATTCCTGCTTCATATCAATGATCTGTTGGGAGTAACAACTTGCCCCATCCACAGCTTTGCAGATGATAGTACCCTCCATACTGCGTTCTCTTCCAGAATTCCCATTTCTTCCCAGGAAACTAAGAACTCACGGCGCAGGCAGGTCAATGCTGTCAATGAAGATCTTGCTGAAATCACAGCCTGGGGAACGAACAACCTAGTTGAATTCAACGCCACCAAAACTCAAGCCTGCATTTTCTCTAGAAAGGCGGAACTCAGTATGCCCGATATTGTGATGTCTGGCTCCACCATCCCCACCAAGCCCACCATATCTATGCTCGGTATTTCCATCAGCAACACCCTTTCATGGGATAATCATGTCAGATCCATCGCAAAAGCTGCTTCACAAAAACTCGGATTCTTGTTCCGTGCGAAAAGCTACTTTACACCTCAACAGCTTCTCATGATCTACAAAGCGCAGATACGACCTGTTCTAGAATACTGTTCCCACATATGGGGTTCAGCACCAAAACATACGCTGATGCTCTTAGATTCCATCCAGAGAAGAGCCATTCGCCTGGTGGGTGACACCACACTCACTCACTCTTTGACATCATTGGAACACCGTAGAAAGGTCGGCGACCTTTCACTTTTCTATCGATACTTCCACGGGAAATGTTCTTCGGAAATCTCTGCAATCATCCCTTCACTAGCAATACCAATCAGACGAACTAGACAAGCCCAGTCAGCACATCCTTTCGTCGTCAACCTCGAAAGATGTCGAACAGCACTTTATCAAGACTCCTTCATCCATAGAACGGCTAGGCTCTGGAATTCATTGCCTGTGGAAGTATTCCCAACAACATATAATCTCCAAAAATTCAAAAAAAATTCCAATACCTACCTCCTGTCCCTATCCTCCCTAGGAACGCACGATGTTCTTTGAACATTATAGGGATTCCCTTTCGTGCGCTCCAATCGATAAAAAAAAAAAAAAAAAAAAAAAAGATAGCCAGGCGGCCATCAAAGCAGTCAAATCTATGCAAGTTAACTCGAAACCAGTATGAGACTGCATAGAAACCCTAAATGAACAGGGCAGTCAGAACAGACTGACTCTAGCATGGGTAGCAGCACATACAGGGTACGAGAGCAATGAAAAGGCAGACTCACTCGCCCGAGCAGGAGCAAACAAAGCTCTGAATGACCCAGAACCCTTCTGTGGTATTGCGAAAGCTATACAAAAGCCTAGTATCAAATCATGGATGCAAACCAAATCTCAAGAATGGTGGAACAACTCGCCAGGTATGAGACAGGCAAAAGAGTTTATTGAAAAACTATCGCCAACATTCACAGAATATCTACTGAGCCAGAAACGAAGTTCAACTAGAATACTAGTGGGACTTCTCACAGGGCATTGTAGGTTCAACAAACACATGAGTACGATAGGTCTGACTGAAGAACTGCTCTGCAGGTTCTGTCAGGGAGAAGAGGAAACAGCAGTACACATACTTTTCCACTGTGAGGACTTGTCAAGACAGAGATTCCTTACGCTGGGCGAGAAAAAACCAGAAGCCCAAAGATACACAGGGGATCTGAAAGCAAGCCTATGGAGTCTCATAAAGAAGGCGGGGCTAGCCGAAAAACTCTAATCCATTTTGAGGGCAGACACAATATATCTGAAAAGGTCACGGTGTGGAGGCAGATAGCCCGAAGGCCCCATTCTAAATCTAATCTAATCTACTATTTGGATTATTGAAAGAAGACGAAAATTTGTAATTTTCGTTTTCATCTTTTCAAGCGAAAACCAAAAGACCTAGACCTCTCTGACTAGGACATTCTTGAAGCACTTTTTCACCAGGAATTACAAATTTTCGTTTTCTTCGAATTATTTGAAAACTTAAAATGACATCGAATTCTCATAAATGTTCAGCATGAAAATGCGCAACCTTGCCATAATCTAACCGACCTTGTATCTCTTATAATAACTGAGAACCCCATGATGAAGCTCGAAAAACGGACACCCTGTATAGTCACTCCAAATAATAATGTCTCTAAGCAAAAAATATATACTTCATGCAGGGTGCTGTCAAAGGCGAGGCATTATTTTTAGAGGATGTGGAATTCGTTGAAAAATATACAGATCCACCAAATATCCATCACCAACTGAATTCGCCTCGGAAATTGCTACTTTTTGAAAATG